ACAATTACAGGCGCTAAACTTATTATTGTACAATAACGACTGATAAAAACATCTCTAGTCGTTCTCTTCAAAAATCTGCAGTAAATTTAAAAAGATATCTGGAAAAAATATTTATTGAAAATAAAATTACAAAAATTAAGTAGTATGCATACAAATTGTTAATATTTATAAATCATCTCTTCATCCCAGCTTCATCACCTAAAACATAACAGTGAGTCATAAATCTACTAACATCATCAAAAACTAATAAACTAAAATTTTCTATCAATTAAACCTTAAATTAATTTATAAAGGCCTATCCTAATTCTTAATTTCATTTAAACTAAACTTATTTAAATTTAACAGATCATCAAGGCTTTCCTTGGATCTTTAATTCACTTTCAACCAAATTAAATTTAATTTCATTAATTTTATATCCTGATCATCAAGGCTTATCCTTGGATCAAATAGAACAATTTTATTCTCCCCCTCACAATTAATAAAGTGTCTAACGTCAATTCACTACCCAACCCTTCCTCAAGACCCAGGACTAATAGAAATCAAATTAACCATTGTAATTGGAATAAACAGTGAAGAACTACACATTAACGACTTTCATTTGACCATCCCTCTTACCTGACCCAGGATAATACTTAAACTTAGTAAGTTTAAAATAGTATCTAACGAACTACTTAAGTTCTAATTATACCTGAACCTTGTGGATTGATTAACTATTCTCCAGCCCTTGATCCCAATCGCTACCACTAGGTAGGATTGAGTAAGTTAACACCTTAACATAGACTAGCCACGAGAAAGTAAAAACCATTCTCAGGAATCGATTTATACTTTTCTCTCTAACACTGAATACATGACCCAAGCTAGGCAAACCACAAAAAATCGTAAGAACTAACAGTTTAATACATTGAAAATCACTAATCCCAATATTGCATCCGTCATCCTAAACCTTATGTCACCAGACAAGTTAGGAAACAAACAAACAATCATATTACACAATTGTGAAATAAACAACGAAAAATATGATCTCGTAGTCACTCCACACAAACAAACATTAGAATATATTAGAAAAAAACGACAGACAATTTCAAGGAAATTTTTAAGCAAACAAAGACAAATTACACGAAAAAGATTCTCAAAGCGAAGAAACGCAGTCTCCGAATCAGAAACCAGTAATTTAGAAGAACTTAACAGGCCAAAAGATTCCATAAACAAAAATTATCAAGTTAATGATATATTATATTTTTCTGACTCAGGAACCACATCACAATCATCAATACAAGGAAAACGAAGAATAAAAAAGACATACAAAAGCAAACCAGTACGTCTATACAATTGGAATCAACCAATAAAACACATAGAAAACTACACATTAACAGTCATAAAACCCAAAAATGGATCAAAATGAAGAAAGCGAAGACGAAAACTCCCTTCTTCCATTTTTAATCAACCCACTCACTGAAGATAGAAGACAAACACAATTTTGTCAAAATTCAATCGCAAATTTATTCGAAAAAGGAATTAGTCCATGTAAAGCAGAGTTTCCAGAAGTAAAAACAAAAGACAAATTATTGTTCAATGTTTAAAAGGAACATGTAATATAACACAACAGTACGGAATCTATACCATAGAAATTAAATCACCAAGTACGTTTCATGGTAGATATCTACTTCAAACAGACGACGTAGATCTAAAATTTTCAAAAGTATTCACAGAATACATTAAAAAAATACAACATCAAAACTCACAAAGAGCGAATTCAATATACACTAACAATGTATTTTCAATAATCTATAGTTATCTATCTATACTAGAAAAAACAGAATCTCAAGGAACTTCACCAGTTCAAACATCTAGACACACAGCTGTAAGACATGAAACTGCAATATTCTCCGAATTTTTAAACTCAATCCGAGAAAATTTAACCAACAACGAAGTTTCACAGAATGCTAAACATGATTTACAAAAAGTCTTAGCCTAATTTATCATTGATTATATCACACATAAAATTGATTTAATCTCACAAGCAAGAAAAAATTTTAGACTCCAAAATTCAGCTGATGAAACTGTCTTAGCAGAACAATCAGATTATGTTTGGGACCCTGAATGGTCTCATCCACTATTCCTGAACAAACCAACAGACATTTCAAGTCAAGCAATTAGCACAATTTCTATTCGCAAAGATTATGTTAAAGTATATCCACTCACAATTGACGCAACACCTTTAAACTATAATTCATTTCTACCGGATAGAATAGGGAACAATAGTTTAAGCTCAACCCTCATCAAACAACAAAAACCTAAATAGAGCTAGAATTCTTACAAAACAAGACATTCAAACACCATCACATTTCGTAAATGAAGAAATAGTTGAAACAATAACAACAGCAGCACAACAAAGTATTTCACCAATACATCCAAATCTTACAACTCCAAGGCCCAAAAATCCAACATTACCACAGGTAACACTACAATCTACGGTTAAACCCTCCGTTGTTCCAAAATATACACAAATGGATTATCAAACGTTTAGACCAATGACGAAACCAACACAAAAACAAAGAACATTCACTAGAAATAATTTTTTTCTTCAAATTTTTTCTTCAAAGTAGTGTCGTTTTTAGCGCGTTGTTTGGTTAAAAAAACAATAGCTTAGAAAATTAGTGAATAAGACGTAACTGACAACACAATTTTTTCATAATTTGATTGGTAATTTAAAAATAGAAAAAAAATTTCAAAATGGAAAAATCTTTTGAAAATAAGCTAGATAGCCTTTGTTGCCAGGTAAACGTTAAGCGTAGTTTTCAAAAAAAAATTCTCGCAAGGTTTGATAGATTAGGATCTGTTCACGTTAATTGATACGACCCACTCAGATTAATAAGTGTGGTACCTGATTTTCTGTGGAAAATAAAAAAGAAAACAACTAAATTAAACCCGGTATACAAAGTTCCTCTGCAATTTCAATTGTCAAATTAATAATGGAATAATAGTGTTAGAAATCAACTGAGAAAAAAAGAATTTTAAAAAGAAAAATCTTTTGAAAACGAGGTAGATAGCCTTTCTTGCCAGGCAAGCGTTAAACGTAGTTTTCGAAAAACTTTCTCGCAAAGTTTGTTGGATTAAGACTTTATTTACGTTAATTGATAAATTATTCGACCCATTCAGATTATTCAGTTTGGAAAAAAAAAAGAAAACAACTAAATTAAACCCGGTATACAAAGTTCCTCTACATTTTCAATTGTCAAAATAAAAATGGAATAATATTGTTAGAAATCATCTGAGAAAAAGTAAAAAGACTTTTAAATAATTGCCCATGAAGCGAGTTATCTTCATTACTAGTATTATAATAAATATCAGTTGTGAATATCTGTCAGTCTAATGGTTAGTTAATTTATCAAAGTGTTTCATTTTTACAAAAATCGGCTGATAAGAGTATTTGAGTGGATATAAATACCCCTTGCGCTCAAGACATTGCTTAAAAGTCTTACATTTGGCCTAATATTTGAGGAGAAATTAGGTACAATTGGGAAAAATTTGAAAGCAATGATTTTTAAGCTTCGGTGAAGTACTTCTCGGTTACTACAGTATGGCTACAAAAAAATGGTCGCATATTTATTCAAAATAAACATTTCATCTACATTTTCACTAAAGATTCTGTAAATGTTACAAAAACACATGCTCGCTTGCTTTTTTCTATCGAAATTCGATGAAAAAGTTTAGAAATTTCAAACCAGTTTTTCTTGACACTGGGAAATGCTTTGGAATTTTTTAATGTCGTTCAAATCACAACTGAAAACGCTCCATTATGATATACCACCCAACTTATTGCAATAAAAACTTTTGGAAGCTGAATTTGTGTGGAAAAAAAAAACTAAAACACACCCGAATACACAGTTATTCCTCGTTTTTCAAATGATCAGAACAAAAATTATTATGTTCCGACCGGCCTCAAAAAACGGCTGAAAAACGAAAATAGTTCACGCTAAGAATCAAAATAAACCAACGGTAGAATTATTCCAGCAAACAATTTGTTCCAATTCATGCACAGGATTTTCATTAGCAGTTATGTTGTATGTTGTCTGCAAATTCTGTCCAACTTTTAGTATAAGCTCCAGAAAACTATTTTTTGTATGCTTTTTAGACAAATTTGACCTTGTTTGATCCTATTAAGAAATTTCTACAATTCAAGTTTATCAGTTTCCCAAAGAACTAATTTGAGCCCAATAATTCACAATCTTTATTTTACTTGCCAGGTTGTTTCCAAATCAAAATTAAATCTACAACTCATTATGATATACTGCTAACTTAAGCCTTCCAAACAAAATTTTTCTCAAGTTTTGGTGCGATTAAGTCCTTTCAAATAGCTTCATCTAACAAATAGCAGACAAAACGACAATAGTTCTTACCGAATATGAATGAAAAATGAGCAAGGAACTTTTGTCACTTTATGTGATGTAAAACTGCGGAAGGGATAGATGTAAAGTCAAGAATGCGAAAGCTAACATGGAAGCTCATATAGTCAAAAACCATTCTTTGACATAAAGAGCAAGAGATCTGTTTGAGATCAGATATAGGGGAGCTGAATTAATTTTAAGAGCAGAGCGAACTCCCGCTTCTGCTAGTGGCATTAAATACTTCGTTTTTTTTAAATGTTAAACGCGTAAGCAGCTCAGAAAGTAGGCCAAATAAATCTTCAAAACATCTCCCAAATTAGGTAAGCACAGAAAATGTAACTTTCTGCTAAGTGAAGGGCATGCGTCTGTCTGTAAACGTTTTTTTTTGTCATATATTTCTCACGGGGCCAAAAAGTGTTGAAAATGGCGTTGTAATAAACAACTACCGTGTGTTCAAGAGTTACCATTAATTATTGGGCAGTAACTTAATTATTTGTTTGCTTGCTTATGGATGGAGAGTTTAAGGATATTATTTATGGAAGTTTATTGTTTTATAATGAAACTAACAATTCAAATTTATTTTAAAAATATCAAATTTTAATTCATGATTACTTAATTATTGATAGTATTGCATATCCAAGACTGAGCTTCACAAAGTACATTGGCTTTGAACCACCCAATATTCAAAGTCTGTCTGACTGAAGCTCTTTTGAATAAATGTACCACTCCGTTCACTGGAGGTAGCATATAGTGTGCATACTTGTGGTGCATTCCTTTTGTCACAAAGGGACTCCCTACTGGTCCGAAGCCCACTTGAGAGACGATGTTGAGACACACACGTGTGTTGTAGTGGGCCTAAATTTCATATATTTTTGGTTTAAGAGAAAAACGTATTTTTTTGTTCCGTAGTTTTTTAAACAATACGCAACGCAAAAAGCAAAAGTCATTTTTAATATGTCAGTAAATTAGTAAATTGAACCTTTGTATTTTAGAAATAGGGTCGTTATGCTGATCATAGAGAGCTCGGGAAATCATTTTGATTGACCTACAAAAAATGTCGGCAAAGTTTTTTGATTTTTTTTTTCGAGAACATTCTGAGCCGCGTCTGCTTTAAAGGAGGCTTACCTGGTTTTCAAGCATCACAAAAAAAAATTCGTATGACTTTTTTTTACTATGTTTACACTCTAAATCAAATGTTGATAAGAGACCCCCATGTCGTGAAAATTAAAAAAATCTTTCAAAATTGAATCCAAATTGAAGTATTCAACTAGGGATGGAAAAAATTAATAATGTTTGTAAGTATCCACATTACACTCAAATTTCACCTATTCTAAATTTGCGGTATTTTTTAACTTAGTCTTTTAAAAGTTATTTCTAGAGTCCTAATTATGTGTGGGCGGTGCCAAATTGATGTTAATTGTCATTTTTTCGAATTCTCAAAGTCGACGTTTTCTTAGCATTTGTGGTTCGAAACTTTCTTGAGCAAACGATTTAAGCATTCAAAAAAATCTCAAATCACTATGAAGACCCCATTTTGACCAAACTTTGACCAAGCCGTTTTTAGGCACTTTTTAGAACAGATTTGAACAAAAAATTGTGTTTTTTTGGGCGCTCGCTCCCCCCTCAAAAACAGTATATATAGTGGCGCCAACAGCTCCTTAAACATTTAAGGTTTGGGTAGTCAAACATTATGTATTAAATAATACCAAAAGGAGAACCATTTGGTTCTGCAGGGGAGTCGAAATATGCGGGGTAAAAGCAATCTTCAGCCACGCTCCTGATTTAAACTACGGATTCCCCAGACATAAACGCACAATTAGTGCATATACAGAATGCAGTTTTGCCTTGTAATGAATTATACCTGAATCTGTTTATTTAATTAATGAAAAATGAACGACAATGAATGAAGAGCAGACAAATTTCAAAACATTAGTTCTCGATGCCAGGATTACTTTTTCGAATTTTTGTTGCAGCTCGAGCCGCGATTGAAAAGACTTTAAAATAATGCCTCTTTCAGACTTCTTCAACGCTTAGTTGCGGTACTTTAGTTTGCGGGGGAAACTATACCAGAACACAAAATGCATCCACACTTTTAGAGTGAAAAATAATAAGGAAAGTGAACAATGAGCTGAAAATGAGAAAGATTTTAATATTCAATCAGCATGGGGCTAAAAACTTTCACTAGAGATGGGGATCTCGAAAAATTATTTTTCAAAGTGGCCATTTATTATAATACTTTGATGTATGTGAGTTGTCTGTTGTTGGAGCCCAAATTGAGAACTAAACGAATGTATTGCAGGGGCGAGATGCCAAACGCTTGTCCATACAGTAGATAAGTCCCCACTTGGAAATTGCAGCACCCATCGTCTGAAATTCCACTCCAACTTCAACTTTTAAAAAATATATTTCGGTAAAATTGAATAAATAATCTACTAAATGGACGATGAATGAATTCATCCAACATGTAGATACCTAAAATTTTGCATTTAGATGTTACTCTCTTCTAGGACTACTAACATACAGGGGCGGATTTAGGATTGCGACATGTTGTTGGATTGATTCGAGTTTCAGAAAAATACTGACAAAGTGCATTGGTCAAACTGTTCTTAGCAGATCTCTGTAAATACCCTATTTACTATAAAATATGCTATTGTAGTACGGGACATTTTTCAAGAGTCTTTACTAAAAGTTAGTATATATTGGCGTGAAAGTCGCTTTTGGAAAAACATTGGCTTGTTTTGCCGAAATAGGGTATGCTGCAAATTGTTTTGGAGGAGGACGGGTATCGCTTTCGCCTCTTTGAACTGACCCCTCGGTTTTTTAGTAATCTTAAAACATGCTTGATAAATTAACGTGTTGAACCTTCAGCCGAACATACCTAATATATCCCCCTCTACAGCTGTTTGCTTAGAATGTTTGTTGTTCTTAACGTAAGCTGCTACTTACTACTTGGCGAAGTAAGGAGATCAAACCAGTTAATTTGTTGGTAAATATTCTGCACTGATTTGAAAAAGTTAGCTGCGTCCTCGGGTTTCTTCTCTCGAGCTGAAATATCGATTAGATATTAAGCAAGATAACTGATTTTCAGTTTTTGCTCAATTCTTTTGGTAGATAAATTCGAATTTTTGATTGAATATTCAAGAAACAAAAAATTTTTGCCAAATAATGCTCCGAAGTGCTTTTTTTCCCGTCAAGGACTCCAAAAATGCTATTTTTCCCTCAAGGACTCAAGAAATGCTATTTGCCCTTGAAAATTGGCTCCAGCAAGATTGTTTCAGATAATTGGCATTGTGTCAACGCGTTAGCTAAATAGTAAGCTTAGGTAAGCTTAGTTTAAGTTTTGAGACAGCTCAAAACAAGCAGATGGTTGCTCTTAAAATACTGCATTTTGTTGAGGTATTTTTTTTGTATTAAAGCTCTAAACGATCGTTTTTTCGCTCCAGTAGTTTTTAGTGTTGAAAAAAGTTTACATTGGTGAATATTCGATGCTAAGGTAACTTCCATTAATTCTGATTTGAATAAGTGCATGAAGGTTTCAGATGATCTTTGGCCTGTCTCATGTAAATCATGCGGATCAAAAACATAATAAACAGAAAAACAAAACGAAAAAAAGTTTTTCTGTCAAAAGTTTTTAAAAAAACTTTCACGACCAATTATAAAATGGTATGATTCTCGTCTTGTAGCGCCACATTTGAAAAATAAAACCAGCTGAGTTTTTTCGAAACAAAGTTTTTGGCCCGATTAGGTATACAAATGGGTAGATAGAATGCGTTCTGTCAAATGAATTAAATGCGTTGTGTTAAAGTTTGGATAATAAACATGAAATGACGCATCTTTTAAGTGTACTCACTGAAGTCGGCTTCATTTGTCACATACCCGAGGAAGCAGAAATGTCGACTAAAACATTTTCAAACGAGATTGCGCGTGTATTAAGGTAAAGCCCTGAATGCTTCGACTGCCCTTTAATCTGCGTTGAAACCATTTTGCTGGAGAAAATGAGAAAAATATTTTAAGACCTTGGATGGAAGTTCGATTAGAAAACTTGATTAGATAATCAAATGTGAAATTTGGTTAGTAATAAATACGAACGGTTAGCTTGCATCAATTCAATTTGAAAGAGTTTGAAACAAATCTGTTGAGCGGGTTAGCTTGCATCAATTCAATTTGAAAGAGTTTGAAACAAATCTGTTGAGCGGGATAACTTGCCTGACAGAACTGAAGTGCGTTACCGTCTCAGCATCAAAAACTGAACATTAACAGCGCACATGAAATAGTACAGAGCATGTCCAATGGGCAGTTTCCATACCCTCAAAATCTTACAAAAAAGTGACCAGAAATATTATTAAAAACCTCTAAATGTTCAAAAATTGAGACTGCTCAGTTTAAAATGTGATGACAACAAGTTTTGTATGTCATTTCATGAAATGCCTATAGGGGATAAACCCAGTAGAACGAGTGATAGATGAGGATCTACGAAATCTAATAATAACAAGAAAAATTCTCAATCAAGTCAAAACTATGCTTGCTCAAACTGCCCCCTATCCGGTAACAATTTTTTTGTTGGCAAAAAAAGTTGAAAACCACAAGTTTTGGACAATGTTAATTACCATGTGTTAAAATTTGAATAGTACGAAATTAGTACAAATATTTAACAAAAATTTGTTCATAGGATGTCCGAACTGCCAATAACTTTCAATCACCCAGATTTTTACAAAAAATAATTGAAGTTAAAATATCGATTAATTTACTCAACAAGTTGATATCTTCAGCTGGGTATAAAATTTTTTTTGTTGAAACTAGGATATCGATCGCCAAAATCTTAAAAAGATCTCAAATAAATGGTTAGGGTTAAGGACTCTAATACCTCATTTCAAGTCATAGTCGCTCAGCTGTAGATATCTCCATGATTTTAATGTTAGCTCTACAAAATGCATAGTAGGACGAGGAAATTAAGTGGAAATTTTATCAAAACTATTTTCCAGGAGATCAGAATACACCAGCCAGAAATTTTTTGAGTCTGCGGGCTTAAGCATTCTAATTTTGAATTTTTTGGTTATCAGCGTAAAAAAACATAATCAATCATAAAAACCAATCATTTTGGTGCCTTCTTAGTTGAACAAGGGTGACTATATCACAAAATCTTGCTAAATTAAATTGCTTACAAGAATCTTGAAAAAAAACAGCTATCTGATAAGATTTTGTCAGAAAAACCACCTTTACATGACTTAACCGTCGCAGCCTTGAATGTTTTGTTGGATCATTGAAAAAATCCAACGAACAGTAAAGCAATCGGTGTAGAAAATTGAAAAGATTAAAAATTCAAATACTCATACATACATACATTCATATGTTGATACATACATACATTCGCACAAACAGATAAACACTCATAAATACACTCATACATACATACATTCATACATACAGACTAACAGGCACACATAAGTTCATACATACATACATACATACATACATACATAGATACATACATACATACATACATACATACATACATACATACATACATACATACATACATACATACATACATACATACATACATACATACATACATACATACATACATACATACATACATACATACATACATACATACATACATACATACATACATACATACATACATACATACAGACATACAAGGGTGACTATATCACAAAATCTTGCTAAATTAAATTGCTTACAAGAATCTTGAAAAAAAACAGCTATCTGATAAGATTTTGTCAGAAAAACCACCTTTACATGACTTAACCGTCGCAGCCTTGAATGTTTTGTTGGATCATTGAAAAAATCCAACGAACAGTAAAGCAATCGGTGTAGAAAATTGAAAAGATTAAAAATTCAAATACTCATACATACATACATTCATATGTTGATACATACATACATTCGCACAAACAGATAAACACTCATAAATACACTCATACATACATACATTCATACATACAGACTAACAGGCACACATAAGTTCATACATACATACATACATACATACATACATACATACATAGATACATACATACATACATACATACATACATACATACATACATACATACATACATACATACATACATACATACATACATACATACATACATACATACATACATACATACATACATACATACATACATACATACATACATACATACATACATACATACATACATACATACATACATACATACATACATACATACATACATACATACATACATACATACATACATACATACATACATACATACATACATACATACATACATACATACATACATACATACATACATACATACATACATACATACATACATACATACATAGATACATACATACATACATACATACATACATACATACATACATACATACATACATACATACATACATACATACATACATACATACATACATACATACATACATACATAGATACTTACATACATACATACATACATGCATTCATGCACACATACAAACATTTCTTATTTAGTGTTGACATTTAAACCATTTTTTTTGTTATTCTGCTCTTGGACTCTATATGGTGGAAAATCTCTTCCATACGTAGCACCATATATGTTGCGACGTATGATTTGCATGGTGAAAATTTTTGATATTTTGCCAACAGCTTGCATAATGATGAGAAACCGTTTTAATACTAATCTACTCCGTTAAAAAGCTATTTCGAGGGTTTTTGAAACCAACGTATGTGCTACGCATGTTTAGTCATTTTCCATACAAATCATGCATGGATGTGCATGGTTGCGCATTATCTTTTATAGTGGGCAACCCGGGCTTTCTGCTCACAGATCCATTCAAACATTCACACGCAGATTGAAACTTTCTCATCGGAAGGGCGATCAAAATTAACATTCCATGACTCATCGCATTCGACATGAAAGCTCATTTTGTTTCAATAAGTTTATGAATTGAATCAGAGCTGAAAAAAAAACATTTCGTTACCGACTATGAAAAAATGGGAGTGGCATTAGACATGAAAATGACAGTAAGGAAAATAAGTAGAAAATCGATGGTTTTGACAATAAATGTATATCGATATTTTTGATTCCTTATAGAAAAGGAATTGCAAGCGATTATAATCGATTTTATACGAATTCTATAAGGACTTATACATATTTTATACAGATTCTATACCGGAAAAATCCATTTTTCTAGGCCATTTTCCATATTTTTTGAACTGTATAAAATCCCTACAATATCCATTTTAGTGTCTAGTTGAATTGTACAATCGATTTTTTGGTACAATCGAAAACTAGCAGAAAATCTGTAAACAAATTCAATTATAATCGAATGCAATCTTATCACAAACAGTCAGTTTGTATATCATCGTACCAATTCTCTGCAAAATGAGTTGCCATCAAAAGATACTAATAATAAGTAAAACCTATTGTGTTTAACTTAGAGACGGATCAAGATTTCTAACCTGAAATGGGAGCATTTGCGACCCAATAGGTCTGAGGGGTCAGGCAGGACGAAAGTGAGAGCTCCTCTGGTCAAGTGACTAATTGCGTCACTTTCACTCTGTGTATTAGAACTGCAGTCTAAAAGGATACTTAAACTTAGTATTCTGGTAACATAATAAAACGAAGATAACCGGTTGTTGTGCTAAAAGCTCATAACTTTTTGACAACCCTAACCTAGTTGAAGCAATTACAAAACAAGAAAGTTAACTCAAAAATTTCTTTTCCTGTTTTTTCTACAGTCTGTGGGCTTTGGGCAGGGGAAATTAGATCATAAATATAACTAAATTAGATTATAGTTTTTTAAGAGCAAGGATAATAGCTAAGATTGCTTAAAAATTAGATTTCAAGTTTACTCTTCATTCAACCCTGTATATTAGTCCAAAAACCGAAAAAGCTAAATTTTCTCGATTCTGAGACAACTTCTTTAACTTTCGTGGAACCATATCAAGGTCAATTGATCGGTAAATTGATAACAAACTTGACCACTCGCAATTTTTTTGGGGGACGTGAAATTGAGCGTTAAACACCTAACCCAAGTCAACGTTCCTTTCCATCGCTTCTTGATGTGTTTGAAATAAAGACAATGAAAATTAGTATCGAAGATAATTTTAGCTAGAAATTTATCAGTGACCAGAATGAACCTGTCATACGGCGTAGTATCGGTATTCAAGGTAATGGTTTTGTTCTCACGCAGTCTAAGTTACTAGTGCTAAGTGATACTTGCTAGTGCTAGTGAGTTATTCACGTTTCGTTTTGACACTCTCATCTCCATAGTAAGAGAACGATTGATTTTTTTAAATTCTTTATGAATCTAATTTTGAATTATTTCGATATCCCTGTCTAATTACAATTTAGTATTGTCATTAGATAGTTTTCTAACTGAGTTTCTGTAGGTTCTCTAGGGGTATCTCATGGCGCAGCCAACAGTGTAACAATCTGATAATAGAGCAGAAATTTTGAGCCTACTAGTATTCTTACGGAAAAACTGAGCAGAACCTCCGTTTGCGTGGGAAACGCGGATAGACCAATTTTTCTTGGCAATCTCACTCAATGCGATCCAATTTATCTGTAATCAGGACCAACTCCTGTTTTTGACCACCCACCACTAAGGCCACAGTCTACAACGACAACAGAAACAACAGACAAAACATAAAAAAGAATAACACTATATACAGCAGCTTTCCGAAAACTCGGGTCAACTCAAAAACCTGCCTCAACAAGTTTTATCATGAGGCAGACATTTTCATTTATCAGGGTACGCGGCGGAATGAGGCTGGACGCATCGAAAAGGAAGTTAAACGGGATATCTTCATTGCTTATAAGAAGTTCGGTGAAATTCAGAGAAAACTTTGCACAAGAGCAGACAACATGTTCGGTGACGCGGTGAAAGCACTCTTACTTCACGTGAAAGGATACGCCTCGGCCAAAGTCATGCAAAACATAATACCTTCGGAAGCGGAAATTGTCATCAAATTTTTTTTAAAGTGAAGCAAACGCGTATCATATCCATCCAATCAAAGAGCAACGTTCGCAGTAGAAGGAAGTGAACGTTGGGCAACTCAAAGAATCAGAATCGCATAAGCAATACAATCATTCAAATCACAATTTTTCAGATTCTTATTAGTTTTGCGATAACAGGCTTACAATTGAACATTGGAAAAATCCCAATAAGACGATGTTTCATTGAATCAGACGGCGAGCCGGAGTATTCAGTCTCAATCAAAAGTCTCGAAATTATCAATGCCGCGAAGAGCAAAACTAAGTCTTTAAGAGCCACAATTAGAGCAAAGAAAGCTCTATTTAGTGCAATTATTGACACCAGAAGTCTGGTATCATATGTCATCAAAAACACAGGGCAAGATATTGCTCAAGTAACCTACAGCAAAATTCTTATCATTTCAAGAAAAACTAAACACCGCGTCATTTGTTGAAAAAAAAACATCAGACCTCTATCACTATTCAGGTTTTTTTTATATAGACTTCAATTCAAAAACATTGAATTAAAAAGAACGCAAAAATGTTGATACCATAAAACGGAACATGTTGTCTCCCATGTTATGATTTACATCCCCAACTTGTTTTGTAAATGAACAATTTAAACAATCTAACCCTGAAGCTAAAATTGATAGAACAGAAGCAGATTTCGAATCAGCAACTTCAAGGTGGAAAAAAGATTTCTTCAAGAAGTAAAACGATGTTTCAACAGACTGGGCTGATCAATAAATCACAAAGTCTAACACTAATCAAGTCTCCCTTAATTCCCATAAAAGAGAAAGACAGCCAAGTATCAATCCATTTCCAACAAAAAGTAGGGGCAAAAATTGGAAGTTAATTAAGGGGGGTCTCATTGTAAACTTTGATGAATGTACTAGTGACCATTTTGTAGCTCCAGTAGTTATAATAGCATAACAATTTGGATCTGGGAAATATGCAATGGACGCCAAGCCGATGAACGACTAAATCTTTTATATTAGATGCCCAACCTATTCGAGCTCTCAGATTCTGCAGCCCAAATTATCACTTTATCACTTCAGAAACGATGGGAGAAGCTTGGTCCACATCTCTAGACCTTGCTTCAGTGATCTAATTCTAGATTTAACGATAAAGGAACTTTGTAACTTCAGTATCGTATGCGATGAACATACGGGCACGTATACGTATTGATTCAAAACACGCTTTTTTAGACTGCAAAAAAATTCAAAAAAAGCGCTGGACATAACATTCGGCTGCACTCTGAAAATTTGCTTTTTAGTTGTTTTTTAATTTGTATCTGAACACAACAAAACCGTGGAAGAAGTTTTGAGGAACACGATTGCAAAAACTTTTGCATTAAAACGCAGCAAATAAAAATTTTCCAAGGAATCTCTAAAAACTTCAGGACTCGAAGTTGATTCAATTCTCATCAGACCGAAGCATTCAAAAAGGAAGCGGTAAGAAATTTTCTCACCAGCGAAAGTCAGGAGACAATTAAGGTCATTTATGGGTAGATTGAACCATATTTCTTGATTGATTTCGAGTTTTCAACTGACAACTGAGGCAATTGGAACAAAATCTAAGTTGAGCTACCAAACCAAGTTTGTGCGAAGGGATTATCAAAAACCAGTAATGAACTCATTGTTAAATTTAATCGAAGTTATAACCAAAACATTTTAATATAACCATTCAAAAACTCCCGGATTGGATATGAGCCAGCCTTAATGACTAAGGAGCCGCACTATCAGAAGAAATAGAAAATGGGTTTTTGCCAAAATGCGTATACATCTAGATCCCTAAACCATGCAGAGAAAAAATAGCACAAACAGCTAGAACAACTAGCAGTAGTTTGATCTTGTGAGTTTGTTGAAGTTTATGGGGCAATCATTTTCATATGTTGACTGCTCACAAAGCAATTATTTCTGCATTAACCAATAATCAAGGGAATTGCACATACCACTCAAGAAAAACCATATGGGCAAATATAACGTTACCTTTTGATTATACCATCTCACATATTGCGGGAAAAAAATTGGTATCGCCGGTTATTTGTCCCGAGATCCGAAGCTAAATGCTCCCTTTACCTCGAATTATGATGATTAATTTAATCCATCAACTAATTCGACATTAGGGAATACCACGGATTCCAATCAACCAGAGAAAAATCCTCTAATTTATACAAATTTATTCACAGATTTTAGCCCATCAGAGTGCAGTAGAGCCAAATCAATCATAAGTCCGGAAAAATCGTTTTCATTGACCATAAATTTTAAATTGATTAGCTTAGAAGTCTCTTTTACTAAATGCTAATTCTAACTCTGATAAAATGTTTCTTTGTTACGGATAATTCTACTTAGTTACAAATAAGATATGTTTAAAAAGTGAATTAATCTCTAAATTAAAACATTAAAAAGTGAGCGGTCATTCTCTCCGTCGGAGAGAATGAAGATAACAAGGTCATATCTAAATTAACCAGTTAAGAAACTTTAAGGTTAATTAAATGAAATAAGACGAATGGTAAGATTCGCAACATTCCCCTTAGTGGGGAAAAAAAATTAAAGTACTAAGCGCCATGATACATAACATGTTATCTAACCCTTTTTCTCCCTCTCGAGAAGTCCAACAAGGATTGAAAATTAAATACTGCGCAATATCACAAATGAAATTTTAGTGCTTCGAAGGAATGACTGAATTAGAAAGAATGATATAATTTCTAATTCCGGCGGATTATAATCCCTAGTTATAAGTAGGTAAACTCTAACTGCGCTGAAACGAAATACTAGTACGATTATAATGACTAAATACGAGTTTTCAAGTTTTTGATTTAGTTTAGCTGTCCCCTTCCATGAATTTTTCTAGCTCAGCGTTAAAAAATTCACTGTCTAAGTCGATGTAGTTGTCGAAACTATTCACCGCATCTCTCAGGGATTCGTCAGTAGAGGCGATGGAGAATTGATCGGGAGATGAAAGGTACGCTGGGCCCGGTGCACGGTCCTCCGGTAGAGTGTCGCAAATGTGGGTCTGATTCTCCGAGGGATTCTCTCTGAAGGTTAGTGTGGGGGAGCCCGAGCTGTCGCCCTCGTCCAGAGATATAGGGTTATTCGCGGTGCCTGGTTGGTTTTCGAACTCGTCTATAATATCTATCTAATATCGCTTACCATAGAATTGTGGGGGACCAACATTTCGACTTGAACGTCTTAATTTAAATTCGTTACCGGTGATAGTGATTTCCTTAGGATGTCTTTCCTCACTAGTTGCACTTTCGTTAGAGGAGTCCTCTATCTCAAAAACTGGAAATTCCACCGGATTTTCTCCTTCCAATGCTTTTGTTGAATCCGAAGGAGTGTTTGGGCCCTCTGTTGTCGTAGCGGTAGAAGATTCGCCAGGTGGGTGTGAGGTAGTTTGAGGTGCTGGCTTTATACTAATTGGGCATTCCGCTGTATCTGTAGATTGAAGTTGTTCGTCTAAAATCTCAGATTTTATATTAGTTTGATATGTTTGAGGAGCTAATGATGGGGTAGGTTCTTCGTTAAAAATGAGGTTATCTGAAATGAAGCGTTTTCTTATCATTTCTCTGCATGGAAAACCTCCCGCAATCCATCCCC